CCTTTATTCAGAATGCTGAATAGAAATATGACAAACTTAGAAACTCCGGTGAAACATTCTGCCATACCAACTAAGTTATTATACAGTACAGTGCATGGACATTCTATACCACAAAAAAGCTTGTTTTAAATAAAGTTAAATACAATAAAGCCCTGCTTTCTAATATCAAAGTAAAAGAGTTGAAATTCACTAATGGGGAGGAAAGGGCAGGAAATCCTTTATTAATTCAGTAGGAAATAAATACCTATTTATATTCAAGGAACTTTTTTTTTGTTCCCCCTCACTCCCTTAAGTCAATGGTCCTAAAGATTTCAAGGAAGTAATTTGTGAATAGAATCAGGGTCCAGTGAGTAATTTTAAAACCCAGGTGTTATAGATGATAAATTAATCACCCACTCGCTGTAATTTTTAAAACATTTTTCTTAAGATTTTTGTGACACTGTTAATGTCAACAATTCAAGCAGGTTTGAGAAGCAATTTATAAAGTAATGAAGTGAATGAGTGTGTGCGCATGTGTGTGTGTGTGTGTGTGTGTGTGTGTGTGTGTGTAATGTACAATGACCATGAAATCCAACATCTTATAAAGAAACCAAAGATGCTGCTAACAGTGGAGATACAGGAAAACAGTTATTCAAAAGAGGCTGAAATTTTTCTAAAAATTATTCTTTCTGTAGAGAACACCTGATTTTGGCATTTGGTTATTTTTTAATAGTAAACATAGGAAATTTTTTTTACAGTACAGCAAAGGTGGAATGTGTTCAGTGCTACGATGAAATACTTCTATGAGGTATATCTCGGTAGTCTTTTGCTGTTCCATCCACTAAAATCACTCACTAGAAAAAACAAGTCACATTCTCCTTGTCCTACACATAGGGCATTGCACTGTGTGAGGCAGCTAGGAAGACTACTGCATTTCACCTCTGAGCAAAAATAACTGGAGACGTGACTTCAGGGTTTCTGCACAGTGGGGAGAGAATGCCGCGGTTAGTTTAAATGCTAAGGGCAAAAAGAGTAGGTGCTCTCAGCCCACTGCCAACTCGGAAGCTAGAAGCTAACCCCTCACTGTTGTATTTGCCCATGAATGGGGGAAGACTAGGATTTGTAAATGTGTGTGCATGTATTTTGAATTGTACTACTATACAGACATGTCTGTGTTACGGGGGAAAAGAGAGGTCAAGGTGGTAATAGTGGTGAAGGATAGTAAAATCTGAGAAACTCTCAAAGTAGTATCCCAGAATCAGAGGATTAGTAATGACGCAGTAGGAAAAGCAGAGGCAGATACAACAGAAATACCCTTATTCAAGTTTGGTGAAAAATTACATCCTTCAGAAAGCCTTAGAAATAACCATTGGCCAGGAATAATTTATGTTGTTCGAGAAGGAAGAAATATTGCTTCCCCCTCTTACTACTAATGTAATATGCACGTGGAAGTTGGAGAGATGGAACAAACTGGTGACACAGTAAATGTTTATACTCACAAGGCGACCACAGTAGACAGATGATGGTAACACAAGATGGCTTTAGAAAAAATCAGAGTGAATAAATGAAAAGCCCCTTGTTTAATAACTGACCCCCCCTTTATTGCTCATCCATTGTCCAGTTAGTTACTTTAAACATATATTATTTATTTTAAAGGCTTCCTATATTTTATCTTAATCCTCATAATAATCCTACAAAGTATTATTAATCTTATACTATACATAAAAAATACCCCAAGATGTAGAGATGTTGATCTACATGCCACTGAAGCTGCAGAGCTGTTTTAACCCAATACCGTCCCCTGATTCTTGATGGACTTGGGACATAAGCAGTACTTCTTCAGGTTAAGAAGGATATTTAGAAAGTGCTATTTAGAATTGTGCTCCCCCAAAATTCAGAGATTGAAGCCTTAACCTCCAGAATTCAGAATTTGGAAATGGGCTTTAAAGAGGGATTAAGTT